CTAAATACATGCTAGGCTCTATCGTACCGACAAGTGGATCGCAACGGCGCTCTAGATAAGCATCCAGAACAGCACTATCCAGCGTTTCCAATTGTGTCCAATCAGAGTTCCATCCGATAGCGGTAGATAATTCTGGATAGCCTTGCGCTTTTAGAGCATCTCCGATTCTTGGTAAAACGATATTTAGCGTATATCGTATATTACTTAATGAGATTAAGAGGCACTGCTCCCATGTCTGAAATTTATAGATATTTTAAATATTGGGTATGTGAAAGCAAGAGGATTGTTAGCGCCAAATCGAATTTATTGCTTACTGGTCCTTGATGCTTATTGGTTTTGTTTTTGTAGCCAGAAGGTGATCCAATCAATTGCGAAACTGATGTTTCATCATTATCCATAGCTTCCTCGCAGCCGCTAAACGCCAATTGTTGTAGGCACCGCGCGAATGATATAAATAATGTCTTAATGACATTGTGATAGATAATCTGATGTGCTGAATTATTAAATAGCGGTCCTTCTCTTGGACCACAAGCAACTACCGTTTCTCGCGCATGTTTCGATATCACCAAAATTATTTCCTCAAATAAGTATGGCTGTTGATATGAAACGACAACATGCATAATTAAGAAAAATAAATATATAACAAAAGCAGCAATTCACTAAAATTTCAGGTTTTTTATATTATACCAGTCTCGTAACTCCACCATCCTCGTTCAAGTATTCTATCTGCCACATTTCTTTTTGACTCAGAGCTACCGTATTGTCTGCTCCTTGTTTGAAGAGAGCAATTAAACATTGTATCCTGTGAATGCAAAAGTTAAATTGATATATAGGTATATAGATAATGAAAAATTTAATTAAATAACTAATTATATTTTGAGAGTGTACCTTAAATCCAATATAAACGAACCGAAAATATCGAGAGCTTCGCTAGGCAAATCCAGATGTATCAAAGAAGCATACATTTGTCTAACACAACGTAAGATATATAAAAGCCACCTTGCCTCTACATCTTGACTGCACATACTCTTCATGGCCCCCATAGCATATTGCATA